CTTTAACACTTATATGTAAAATCAACAGATTTCCCATTCCTGGGTGCTATTCCTGGATTTAGCAAGAGATTGGGATCAGTTAACTGGAGCATCTAGTGGAGTTTGATTTCCCACAGTGCCTTGAAGGAGAAGAGCCAGCCAGGCAGGCAAACCACATGGTCCCAGAGTGTCTTCAAAAGAAGGCAAACCACTTTTGAGTACTTTATACGTAGAAAACCCCAAGAAACGTTGCCACGAGTCAGACTCAAGTTGATGGCATATACAGTCATTACCAATTAGAGGCTATAGCAACTATGGCATTCCAAAGTAGTCAAGAAGCAAATTGTTTTTAAGAGTAGTGCAGGGATGAATTATCTTTTGTTTACAACCTTATTGGGAAGGAATTGTGTGGTATGGAACAAGGAAAAAAACATTGTTTTTAAAAGCAAGCAGGTTGCTTAAAATAGGAATTTTTGAAACATGATGTGAATTTTTTTAAAATGTGAAACACAAAATGCCAATAAACAAGATTGTTGCGTTGGTTTCATAAACCAACCTCCTGTCTTCTTTTAATGGTTTTAATCTCTAAACTATCCAACAGGACTATTTAATTTGCATATAAATAGAATGATTTGGAAGTAAATGAAACTAATATTAAAAGGCTAATTAATCCACAGCTGGTACTTTAAAAAGGAAAGAGATGAAATTTTCCAGATAGATTTCCACAAAGTAGAGAAGAAAACTGATGTTTGTTCTGCATAAACTACACGGACATAGCTGTGCAAACATTTCCTGAGTAGTGCGCCCCACCATAGGCAAAATGTTACTGGCACAACAGTTGTGTATGCATTCTTTATTCCCATAGCAAGCTATATATATTATATATAAATTGGAGTGATCATTTTAATAGTTCTCTTTGCTTTTCTATGCTATCTTCCCTCCCTAAGCTCAAGGCAACAACCCTGTGAAGTAGGTCAGGCTAAGAGAGAGTGGCTGGCCCAAGAGGAACCCCAAGTTTGATCATTCAGTGGGGATCCTTTTAAAAGTGTGTGTGTCCTTCTCTCTATCACATACTTGTTATCTTTAAAATGGTGGCAATGTCACCATTGGTGTTCACATCTGGGCAGAGAGATGGATTAATCTGTTAGAATGATGGATGGGCCTATTAGAATTGTCTGTTTCTGAAGACTTATAGATCCAACTGGTTTCCAGAATGTCCTTGGGTTTTTTTCTGGGTGACCTGGTTGGCGCTCCTGTCAAAGACCAGGTCTTCCACTGGTATTCAGAGATGACCCATGTAATAGACATGATCACTCCTAAAAACCCTTCTCGGTGGAGAGCCTGATCCTCCCCATGGTTTACAAAATAGTTGAAGGCGATAAAGCAATTATGAAGACAGTTAGAGAGCAGATGGAGGAAAGCTCCCACAGAATGCAATCTGGCTGCAGCCAGGGAGATGCCTGGCAAATATTGTAATTTAATTAAGGCCACAAAAAGAGCCTATAATTCCCAGTTAATTAACATGGCCTCCAGTCAACAGGTGGAATACTTTTGAGTTGTCTGCAGCCTTACAAGTTCCATACAGAAGTAATAATTACAGCCAACCATAGAGAACTGTAACCAACTGGCAGCCTGTTTTATTTATTTATTTACTTATTTATTTGGCTTTTATACCGCCCATCTAGATAAATCTACTTTGGGTGGTTTACAGTCCAAAAAGCAATAGAATTAAAAACATCAAGTAAAAAAAAAAAAACTAGAACCAGCAAACATAATCCAAGATGGAAAAACCAGGGGAAGAAATTAAGCAATGTCAGGAGGGAAGGCCTGCCTGAAAAACCAGGTTTTCCGTTTATTTTTAAAAATTTCCAGCAAGGGAGCCAGGCAGGATCAAAGGTTCATTGCATCCATCAAGACCTTGATTCCTTACTTATTCCCATAGATCAGATGAGATGTTCAAAGTCTAGTCAGGTTATATTGGATCAGTTTCATTTAGTAAGGCCTGAGGTTGTGCACGAAGCACTTGCACACTGTAAAGCTACCACCTCTCTTTTAGACCCTTGCCCATCTTGGCTATTAAAATCTAGTAAGAATATAACAGTTGAATGTGCCGCTTATGTTTACAATGCTTCTCTCCAAGACGGCCTTGTGACGTCCTCTTTAAAAAACTATTAATATGGTCCATTCCTTAAAAAAAAAAAAATTGGCAATGGATGACTTGAATAATGATAGATATGTCTCAAATATTCCTTTCCTGAGCAGGTTGATTGAGAAGATGGTAGCTGACCAGCTGCAGGTTCTTGGAAGAAATAATAGTCTGGATCCAATTCAATTGGAGTTTTGGTTGTGACGTGGTACTGAAGCGGCAATGGTCACCCTGCAAGATGATGTCCTGAGGGAGGAAGACAAGGGGAGTGTAACCCTGTTGGTCCTCCTGGACCTTTCCGTAGCCTTTGATACCACTGACCATGGTATTCTTCTGCAAAGGAATTGGGGGCTCCATATGTCAGTGGTTCTGGTCCTTTCTTGATAGATGATCCCACATAATCAGCTTGGGGAGGCCATGTCCACCCCTCCACAGGGTCAACCATCTCCCCAATGCTCTTTAACATCTATATGAAGCTGATGTGAAGTCATACAGAGATTTGCCATTTTCTCTCACCGGTGTGCTGATGACATGCAGCTCTCTCTCTCTCTTTCCCTTTCTTCCTGTACAGATGATGCTACACAGGTCCTTAAGTGCTGTCTATCTCTGGGGCCAGCAGATTAACACTGAATCCAGATGTGATGGAAATTCTTCTGTTGGGAGTATTGCCATACTGGTTAGAGGGAAATTTATCCAGCCTTGATGGGATTACACCCCCTCTGAAAGGTTGGGTACACAGTGTGGGGGGTACTTTTTGGCCCAGCACTCTCTATGGAGGCTCAAATATCTGCTGTGACCAAGAGAACCTTCTGTCCACTTTGGTTGATTGCCCAAGTGTACCCCTGGATTTAAAAAAAAGCCTAGCAACATTGGTAATCTCAAAAATAAGACTACTGTAATGCTCACTATATAGAGCTTCCCTTGAAGTCAGTACATAAACTTCAGCAGGTCCAAAATAAAGTGAGACTAACAAATTTGACCACATATCCTCAGACCTGGTGTCTCTTCATTTGGTCTCTGCTAATTTCCATGCTGAATTCAAAGTGCTGACTATGACGTATAATGCCCATAACTGTTTAGGACCTCAATACTTCTCAGAACATATTTCCCAGAAATCAGCTATCTGACCCACCTGCTCCTCTCAATCCATGCTGTTCAAAGTTTCTGCACTGAGGGAGGCCAAAAGGGTGAATATGAGGAATGGTGCCTTTTCAGCTGTGGCTCCTAGTCTCTGGAATAAAAAGCTGACAGAGGTATATTGGGCTCCTTCCCTCCTGGCATTTAGAAAAATGTAACGTGGCAAAAAGTAAATTATTTAAAGCTGCCATTATCTACTGAATCTCTTGAGTGCTGCCAATAATTTTCTAATTTTAAAAAACATTTTAATCAATTTTACTTTTGTTGTTGTTATTGTGGTGTACTAAGGGTTTGCAAGTTTTTAACCCTGTGCAAACCACCCAGTGTACTGCTTGGACTAACAAGGCAGTATATAAAATAAATAAAAACTATTGCTACAACTCATCCAGCTAGAATGTAACCCATAGATAAACATCAATGCTTTTTGTGCTTTAAACTTAAAGAACTACAATGAAGAGATGCTATAGGAGGGAAACATGTCAAGTTACCCAAGTCTCAACATTTGGACAGTTTGCAATGATTTACTTTTTGTAAAAGTTGCTCTTGCATAAATAGATACATTGTGTAGTTGTAAAATTCCTAATGTGATATGAAAAGAAACATACTATGAATTATCATGATACAGGACTCCTCAACAGCTCAAAGAAGTCAGAAATGAAAGATCTGGAGTGATGTCCAGGACTTAAACATTACTCTTCAGAGAATTGTTAAGAGGATAGAAATCTGGGTCTTGTAAGCAAGACCCAAGGTCTTGTAGCCGCCCAGAGTAGACTATGTCTAGATGGGCGGCATATAAATGCAATAAATAAATAAATAAATAAATGAAAATAAATAAATAAATAAATAAATAAGAACAGTACAATTTCTCAATTTTTGTACAGAAGAAAAGCACAAAACCCCATCAGATCCACCCTAGTAACATGGAAGATAGTGAGGTATCTATAGGATTGTTAAACACAACACTATTTCCACTAAAATGAAATTCCTGCCCTGCTCCCCATCAATGATCAAGAGGTTGTTTACACTCCCACTAGCTTTACTACTCCCTGGCTGAAATCTAGTAGCAAGTTACAACTAGATTAAGCCCACTGGATCAATGGAATTTTTGGAGGCGTTGACTCACTAAATCCCAAGCAATTCAATTGGTCTGCTCTAATTTTGACTTACCACTAGATTTCAGCCATTGTGTTAATTTGATCCACCCTTCATGTAAATAGAGGTATCATAAAATTGCACTTCAAATATGTATCCTTCAAAGTACAGTCCAATATTTTGTCAGTCAGCTTCATAGGTTGCCCAATGCAGTTCTACAAGAAGCCATTGCTATGCATATGTAAAAGCATGTTGCTCCATAATTGGCAGTGGGAATATAACCCATCTTTACCTTTAGCTATACATGTCTTTGATAATGGAAAAGCGTAGCACTGATAGGAAAATAAAGAGAGGCTTCTGATAAATGTGTATTCTCACAAGCTCACATTATTCTGATGCACTGCCGTCAAAGGCTACAAATCTCCTTCACCACCCCTTTAGCAAATTAAATCAGAGCACCAACACCCAGTTTCGCAGCATCTCCAGCTGTAGGCCATACCAGCAGTGAAATTTGTAGGGCCCTTGTTGTGAGCAAATGTTAGAGACATTAAATCTTCATGAGAACCCAGCTCGCTTCCCTTAAAACATATAATTTGGTGTTACAGTTATTCATATCAAGGATAGTTATTCATTTAAACAAGCTTACCTTGCTAGGAAGACGGCCTCCAACTATCAGCTGCAAAATACAAAGGGATATAACAGGATTGGGGAGGAAGAAGGGCTATACCGGAGAAAGGAGTGCAGGGGAAGATGGTGATCTCAGTCACGACACAAAATCCAAGGTGTACAGCACAGAACTGGTGATTTCCCTGTTGCCCAGCTCAGAGTCGACAAGCTGGAAGAGAACGGATGCTTAAGAGCCATGCTTATATAATACCAGACTCTTGATACAATTACAGAGGAAGGCAGAAGTTGGCTTTGTCTAGCTGGTCCTCTTTGAAAAGATACAAGATGCACACGCACACATGGCACAATCTCCAGAGCTTCCGCTAGCTTCACTGATTGCGGTAGGTGGAAGAAAGCGGATACGGTGTTGTTGTGAGGAGAGAGAGAGAGAGAGAGAGAGAGAGAAAACAGTTAATGCCATGGAAACAATCCCATCCTAGAGATGCAAGAAGTCAGGCTGTCAAAGGAAAAGGGAAGGGGGAAGCATCTGGTGTGCATGGCCGGGAGAGGTCTGTGTGGCAGCTTATTAAGCTGAAATATGATCAGGAGCGCTGTGGATAGCTGAGAGGCCAGGCGTCATGGGCTCCAGCTGCTCTTTGGGTCCCTCAGACAGGCTTTGCCTTGTCAGGACATGGAGAGGTAGCAGGGCTAAATCTGTTGCAAGAGGCACAGGCGACACAAAAGGAGCTCCATAGCCCCTTCATTGTTAGTTTCCGCAAAACAGACAGGGAATAGTCTATGGGTTTATGCACCCGAGGTGAAATTATAGAGAAATTAACGTATGTGGGTTAGAGGCAATTGTGCTCGCACAACTGTGTGGATTTTCACAGACTGGCATCTGTTTCCATGGGAACAAAGAGTTCTTTGGACTTGTAAATTAAACATAGGTTGAACACTCTATGCCGTACATTCCTTTCCCATTAAACATGCTATATTTAATAACACAGCTGGCTTGCAATATACAGTATATGTTGTTAAAGAGGAAAATATATTTCTCCCCTATTCATACTATTATTTGATGGACAGAACTTAATATACAAGTATATACCCATCGTGTCAGATTAAAATGGGCTATTCTCAGTTACCTTACAGGGTCACTAAAGCATAACTGGATAATATCTATGGTAGAAGTAGAACATTTGAAATGCATTGTACAATTGCTGTTTTCCAGAATTTTGATTATGTGGTAGCTAATATTATTCATTTAGTTCGAGATTCCTAGCAATATATTTTACAGCTCCTGCTATTTTACAATGGTGGCTAGAGGCAGAAATATTTATGAAGCCAAAAAAGAAAACCTTTCATCCTAAGGTTGAACTGCTCGATAGCTCAGTGGTTTTTGTACGGGCTGCGGAGCCAGAAGCTGGGAATTTGATTCCCCACTGTGCCTCCTTAACAGGGCTGGACTCAATGATCCCAGCTCTGTTGTTTTAAGATGATGATGATGATGATGATGATACTAAGTTTTTTTTTCTAAAGCAAGGATCCATTTTCGTCCATCCCACCATATGAGGTGAGACATTTACCTCAGGCAGCAGAGCACAAAGGATGGTGTAACTCTTCCCATCCTCACTCCCTGCAGGATGATGTTTGCTGCTGCTACAAACAGCTTCACCGACTGTTCTCCATCTACAGCAGGGGTGGGCTAACTATGCCTCAGAATCACATGCCCCCTCAAATGAACCCAGTGAGAGCCTCAAAGAGTACCTTTGCCCTGGTCACATCCTGAACATTTGAAATCTTTTTTTATTTTGATTTTGACGAGAAAGGCCCTTTATGCCTTCCATGGGACATGAGTGGAAATTCTGCCATGTTTCAGGCTGTTCAGCATCCTGGGACCACCACAATTTACAGGGTTTTTTAAAAAAAATTTAGCCAGTCGATTACAAAGGGGCGTTTTCAGTCAAACACATGTTTTTGTAGTGGGAGTGTAGGAGTGGGTGCAGTCCTCTAAGGTCCAGGGTGGCCATATGCAGCCCTCCCCAGTCTTTGTTAAGTGCCATAGCTGGGAAACTGGTGGGCAGACTTTCCAATGCAGAATGAGGCTCCAGTGAGGAAACATCCAGCACACAGCTTTCCTGAGCTTTTCTGAGCTCAGCATCATGAGTTGCTTGACAGCGCAGGCTGCCTGTTCGTCTGCAGCAAGAATAGTCTCAAAGGCTATTCTGCCCTCAATGCCTTGCTTTCGGGAAACACTCCTTAGGGTGAAGCATTGAGGATGAAGGAAACAGTGGATGGAGGAATCTGATGGATGTGGGATGGCAGCAGGTGTTTTTCCATGTAGCCAGGCAGACCAGAAGGAGATCATCGTCCATGCCATGATATCCAAAGCCGTTGAAGGGTCTAAAAAAACCACTAGGATCCACTTCCACTGTCTAGCCGTCAACAAAGATCATTTTAATAGGACAGCCAAAGCAATTTCTGTCCCCAAGCCAGGCCTGAAGCCAGATTGAAACAGATCCAGTTTCCTCTAAGAATTATTGGAACAGAAAATGAAATGATACGCAGATTCTAAGAACTGTGTATTTTTTAAAAAACTAGTTATCATATTATGCAGATCTAAAACTAGAAAATATTGAAGAGCTTCTAGGAACTGTGAAATATTTTCTGGGCAAAAATATTTTAAACAAATAAAATAAATACATTATACTTCAAAAGTAATATGTAATTGTAATTTTAAAAGTAACTTGTCAAAGTAATGTTGAAATTTCCAGTTTCTCCCAAAGGTGCTAAGCTTCCCTGAGATCCCTTTTGTCTTGGGGAAGTCACTGTGGGCCACAGGACAAACGGAAACTTTTAATTTCAAACATAGCTGCTAGCAATCAAATCATCCTGACAGCAGTCACTCTTGGAAATGAAAGGCCCCCACCCTGGTAGCTCCCAACAGCTTTGCCCATGATGAAAGGGATTCTGTGGGAATCTCAGAACTTGTAGGGGGGGGGACTTAAAAATGTTTAATTTCTGAAAAATTGCCACAGGTACTGACACCATCAGTCTTATGCAGCGTAAAGTTGGACAACAGAATTTTAGCCACTGTCTTTTGAAGTAACTTTTATAAGCTCTGTAATTCAAGTCTTAGATCCAGTTCTTTTCTCTAATGTAGCAGAAAATAAGTATCTGGATTCTTTTAATCATCCTGTTAGACTGCCATAGATATAAGAGTTCTTCATCCCAGCTTCAGACAGTAGATAATTCTGAATTCATACACACTCAGGAATGTACATTGAGCACAATCTTTGGTTGGATCAAAAAAATTGATGATTTAGAAAACAGCCCTTTTCAGCTTAAATCAGTTTGGTGTTTGTCTGCTCTGACATGGATAGGAGACCAAACCTAAATTTGGAAGCCAGCGCTTCTTGCTTCCCATGAGCTATAACTGGGAAATGACAAATAGATATAATTTTTTCTGCTTGGCAGAAATGTGTAGAATGTACAAGAAGAGTAGCCCTTTATGAGGTAATTGTGTCTATGAAAGTTTAGGCAAATAGGTGCAAACCTTGTTGTATCACATGCTGTTCACTGTGATTTAAAAAAACAAAACAAAAACAAAAGCCCCTGTTCACAATTTTACTTTTTGGTGTACATTTGTGAAGATATTTGCTCCTTCAGAGGGGATCAGGCTTGCTACATATCCACAGAATAGGTATAGGGAATTTTGTGCGAGAGAAAGCTTTAGAATCTGTGTTTTTTAAAAGCATGTGCTTATAGCCATATATTTTTGTTCACAGTTATTATAAAAATGATATATAGGATACAGGGTGCTCTACTTAAATATAATGCCATTGAGTCAATTCCGACATGATGACTCTTTTCAGGGTTTTCTAGGTAGAGAGTACTCAGAAGTGGTTTGCCATTCCCTTCCTGGGATTGTGCAACTTGCCTGAGACCACACAAGCCGGCTCTTCTAAGAGGCAGAGTGGGGACTTGAACAACCAACCTCTGGGTCTGCAACCAGAAACCTAACTCACTGAGCTATCCGATCAGCCGTCCTACTTAGAGAAATCTACAAAATTGGAAAAGCATAGATGCAGTGATTTTAAAAAGTCTCCAATGCTCGGGGTGGTGGTGGTAGATGTGGAGTTGCTTTCACCCGCCTCCATAATTTTGGAGTCAAATTGCAAGAAAATGGCATGTGTCATACATGTATTCCTAATCAAGAAACTTGTGACATTTCAGAGGGATTGACTTGAAGCGCTAAACACAGTGAATGAAAATCAGTTGAAGACCTCTTTTGTTTTTTTTCTCCGTTGGCACCAGAGTCACAGAAAGTGCCCTTGAACAGGGATGCATGCAATGTACAGTGGTCAAGGGAGAAGGACTTCAAAGGTCAAGGACTTTTCCAGGCAATGACCCAATATAACATCTTCCAAGGTTGTATAAGACCTCAGCAAAACACTTCTAATATTGCTCTTCTTTGGCAAAAGAACTGGCAAACAGCAATATATTACTTCAACATATGACAGAAACACACACAACCCCTGCATAAGCATTTCAAGTGGAGAGGTCTAGTAAAATCTTTCACTGTGGTTAGAAGCTAGAGCTACCATTCATAAAACCAATAGAGTAGTGTATGTGGGGATGGTTTCCCCAAAGGGATGGTTTCTCCAAAGTGCAACCTTGTTAGGGGCACAACTGCCACCCTTTTGCGAATGCCCCCACGCTCCATATTGCCACTGGGCTGGCCCAGATGATTCCTCCATCTATTCTCTCTCTCCTCCTCCCTCCCACCACCGCCTTCCCACCTCCCTGCCTGCCAAGGCTGTCTGGTGAGCATGGCAAGCCAGCCATCCTCAGCCCAGCACAAGTGAAGCACCAGGCAACAAAAGGGAGTAGATCACTCCGCTGAGGGGACTGCACCGGTGGTGAAGGGTGTGTGGCTGCTACTGGTGGTGGTTATGGGCAGCCGGAGCCATGAAGGCTGGGCTGGGGGCACTGGGGGTCTGGATACCACCGTGCCTCTTCTTGGCCACCGTTGGGCTGCTGGCAGTCCTGAGCCTGGCCAGCAGCATCTTCCTGCTGGGCTGGTGGTGGGAGCACAGTGTGGCTGTGCAGGCACTGCAGGAGGTGGCGGTGGCAGCGTCACAGCAGGAGCTGGAGGTAGGCAAGGAGTGTGAAGTAGGCAAATGCAAGGTAGGCAAGGAAGAGCCAGAGTGAGAATGATGATGGAGGAGGAGGAGGGTGCCTCGGGGGCACTCCTGTTGGGAATGGAGGGAGGAGGGATACAGGTCAACAGGTTAGAGGGTGTGATACTTGTCCTGAGTGCTGGCAAGCCATGATACACAACTACACAGAACTACACTCTGTCTGCCTACCTCAGTTTGGTGGAGAG